AATTTGTGTTGAATAATTTGTTGGTATTGTTATAAACGATATGTAATCCGATTTTATTTATGTATATATTGTGTGTGTCATTGTGTTGAAAACATTTATTTGCGATCTCCAAATAAAATGAATGCATTTCTACTGAAGATAAATTAAATAACATTAATTATATATATTCATTGAGTATTTTATATAGGACTCCAATATTAGTTTGTTTCTGATTTGAGGCCAAGAAATCTAAACCACAAAGGTATAAATAATCATAGGTACCATAGGTCCATCATAGGTATATTGACAGTTACTTTAAATTAAAGTTCAAACCTCACGTGGAACTATACTACAACGATTCAGTTTGGGAAGTATGGCACTCCCGATGTAATCAGAAATTGGGTTAAATTTTTATATAATGCATATTAAATTATGTGAAACATAAAATTAAAGACGCCTTTTGTGTCAGATTTCCTTAAATTTTCAGAATATGGTATTGACATTTTTTGTAATGAAACCGCGACGCACAAGAATTGCCTTAATGGAGGATATTTCAAATAAACTTAAAACTCCAAAACTTAACGATATTGATAACGGATTGATATTGATAACACTTGGTAGGATGAAACACCAGTCTAATATATATGTATATATATATAGGAGGTATTATATGAGGGCTATGATTATATGTGCGCCGAAATAGTTCAATATCGAGCCTGACCTTTTAGTTTTGTATCTCGATACCCAACGAAGGTCGTATGATTACAAAAGATGTACAGACGTATGGAAAAGGTTAAATCGTTGTAGAATTCCATAATTTGTCTTAAGTTCGACCGGATCAAACTTTTTATACCCTCCGCCACCTAGAGTGCATTAAAAATTCCATAAATCGGTCGAGACCTTTATATGGGTACTATGTTATTGCATTATGTGGTAGTAGTATGTCATGTTATGACGAAACAATATTCGAAATTACAGACACAGAGGTTGCAAACCTGGGGTAGGAACTTCAAGATACCGAGAATGAAACGGGACACTTTTGTAAGGGGGTTATTTTAAAATATTAACCTATATTGAACTATTACTGGAACAAAAACTTTTTTATTTACCAGGATTCCGATATTCGGAAAATTGGGCGGTGCTATATACAAACGCGGAACTATATAGACATTTTTCCACAAGCATGTGTTTTAGCCTCCAATATCCCGGAATGACAAATTACAGCCACTACAAATGGAAAAGCCCTCAAAATACTGGCAATGGGCGCTACCCTTATATGACCTATGCAGATAATTTTTGATGGAGAAGATTTCTACTCAAAACTTATCGAAAATGTAAATTACTGCCGATTTCATTGAAATACGTGGCCAAACTCTCTAAAATACCGAAATATGGAATGTAGCGTTATATGGTATTATTGATAATGTTTGGCAGGGAGATTAAATACCCAATTATAAATTACAGCCAATTAAGTGTTGGGGGTTACTGTTATATGGAAGCTATCTGGAAACTCGGGCCAATATTGAAAAACGTATCTAAAAGCTTCAAAATATTGGAGATTGGGAGGTATCAACATATGGGGGCTACTCCGAAACATAGGCCAATATAACTAATTATATTCTTTTCCACACTGTGGTACAGGGTATTATATATCTGTGCATATATTTGTAACAGACAAAAGGAAACGAGTTAGACACATGGTTCCTTTTGAGGATATGCATAGAGTAACTTTCTGAGTCGATTTATTCATGTCCGCAAGCCTGTCCATGTTAAATTGTAACCAAGTACTTTTCGCTTTTATTATCCGAATCTCTTATAAGTTGGAAAATATTTCGTCTTTCGTAGATCTAGGAGTAATATTAAACTGAGGAATAATCTCCATATAGAGTCTTGCATTAATAAAGCAAAATCTTTATTAGGATTCATTACGCGCTGAATTTGATGATCCTTACGTTATAAAACGCATATTTATTACTTTAGTTCGACCAATACTAGAGTATGACCGTACTACCCGTAACTTTATCCCAATAAATTTACCGCTCGTAAGATCTAATTATGAAGCTAGTAGTCCAATGCGAACTTTGTGTGAAATATTTTACAATATATAGTAGCTTATCACTGACTGAACCATTAGACATAATAAAAAAATGCATTTGCGTATGTAGCTGATTGCCAGATGTGTACTTCTTGAAATATTCAGTCGAAATTTTGAACAATATACTAGTCTAAACTAACGTTTATTATGTTTCATTGAAATCGAATCAGATATAGATATATCTCCCATTATATTTTCGACAGATTTTTGTCAATGGCACATCAATTGTACTAATGTGCATCAAAGATCCTACGATTGTCCGATTTTTTCACATTATTCTGAATTGAGCCTGGATGATGTATGTTAAGTTTCGTTTAAATCGGTTCAGATTTGGAAATGGCGCTAATCTATATATTTGACCGATTTTATCTAAATGGTGGGCTAAATACCCAAACTTTGCCCGATTTTCATGACATCTTGCACAGCGTAGCTAAATGAGCCTAAGTTCAAATCGGTTTAGATTTAGCTCCCATATATACCTTTATCCGATTTCATAAAATTGTGCAACAAATACCAACGTTATTTCGATTAAAACGAAATTTTGTGTGGGTCTGATCAATTGATACAAACATCTAGGACAATCCTAAACCAATGTGTACCACATTTGATTAAAATCGGTACTCATTTGCATAAAGCTCCTAATTCCCATTACTCACATTTCAAAAAAAAAAAAATAAATAAATAAATAATTTTATCTTATTGATGCAAACGTATACAAAATGTTATGATTTAGACCGAAACATTACAGTTCAGTAAATATTTTTTGATATCTCTCAAAAACTTCCATAGAGAGAAAACCAGTGAGCGGAGCAGTATAGTCGGACAAGGCCAATCATACGATACCCTACACAACTACCACGGAACTCAAATTTTCTGCGGATGTTTATTCCGAGCCTGGGCAATATTTCGTGATATTTTTACCCTCTTGCCCGATTAGAGGTAAACAGCACCTCTTCCTCACACTGACATATTTTCCAAATATTACGAGTATTCAGTACAGCTACTGTCTAGATTTCCTTCACCGTGGGTTGTGTTGTGATGTTCGGCTTTCATTTGTTGTCTATAGATCGACTCGAAAACAACACAAAAAACCAGTGTGGTAATAGGTTACTAAATAATATATGAAAACGTAAGCACCTGTAAATATTTAAGTGTAACTCCCACATCCGAGTACCTACGACAATATAATTGGTATCAATTTAAAGGTCAACCACTTCTCTTGGATATACTATCAATTTCTCGGGTCTATGTCCTTCAGAATTAAATATATATGCTATAGAATACAAATTTTGTCATTTTTTACACAAATGTCAGGGTCCATTTGACCCGGTAAATATTGACCGATCCTTATAAAAACAGGCATGCTTATTCTTTGGCCCGATCCCCTTCTCCATGCAAAAATTCGCGGTGTTTGGGCCATAATTGCGGCCTCTGGAGCGACCAGAAAAACCGACAAAAATAAAGTTTTTGGTCCATTTCATCCCCTAAATATTAACCGATCTTTTCCAAATAATAGGGGTCTTCATTGGCCATAACCCATCCTACATGCAAAATTTCGTGAAAATTGATTCATAACTGTGGCCTGTATCGTGTTTACAAATTATAATGGACAGACGGACGGACGGACACACATGTCTAGATCGACTCAGCTAGTCGAGATATGACGATCGGTATACTTAAAGGTGGGTCTAGGACCAATATTTCGAGGCATTACAAACTTTTGGGGCTGCACAAAGCTATAATACCCTGACAACATAGTTGTAGTATAAAAATCGTTTTTCGAAATCGATATATAAATAATTTTGTTCGATTTTATACAAATGGTACGCAAACGATCCTCATTACGCCCGGACAGGAATATGCAGATAGACAGCGGAATGTCATATGTACATCGGGATGGACTAAAATCGGATGGACCGAAATCTTTTGAGATGGCATTTGTTATGCTTGATTTGTAAAGGGTATCATGTAGTCGGTCCCGTCCGACTTTACTACTTTCCTTACCGGACAACCCAAAATATCAAATATTAACTAATTAGATTGAAAACGTGCCAAAAAGGCTAAAAATACCGAATTTTAGGGATTACAAACGACATCTTGAACTGTCATCCTTTATAGGTGTTGCAAGCGAAATGACGCAATTAGTATGCCCACATTTTTTGTTAGATTACATTGTAATAGACCCGCAATTAGATAAACATTTTACAACACTCAATCTATTATTAGCATTTCTCTTTGTGTCATGGGAATTTAAATTATCCACAAAAAGTCTCATTTCTTTGCGCATCAGCTTTAAATTGCCATATATGTATGTACATTTTTTTTGTTTTGTTCAACAAACAAATTTTCTTAACAATAAACTTGATATCCCAAAGAAGCAGCAATAGCAAATGAATAAATAAAATGTTTACACTGTCACCTACTAGACCTCCCCCCTCCACACACACACACACACACAAAACCCACTCTCCTCCCATGTTCCCACACTGGGATATTGACAATTTTATCTCAAACAATTCAACAATGTGAATGCAATGGAAAACTTTAACAAGTATTCAATTCTCCCGTGTCCTTGTATCGTATGTTTTTTCTGCTTCTTCCTCCTCGTTTTTTTTCAATACTGATGATCCAAGCAAAAGTAATTCAAACTTCCAACACATATTGGGAGGATACAATTTTCTTGATACGCTGCTAGGTGTTGGATACAACAATACATCCATACACACATATATTTCCATAGCAATGAATTTTGCCAGTATGGCTGGATTATCTTTCGATTCTTTTATTCTCCGTTTTCAACATTTTATTCACATTTCATTCAATATCTCGTTATTTTATATATGTTAAATTTGTTCTTTTTCTGATATTTTCGCTTTTCACTACCTTTTTGTTCAATTTTTTCTTTTTTTTTTTTTTGTTCGCTTACCTGACAACAGCATCCGATTGACTTATAAATTTATATCTTATGCTAAATTCAAATGGCTTTTCTTCTTGAATATTTCGGGGTGGATGGAACACCTGTAAAGGTAAAAGAAAATGCAAAAAGTGTGAGAGCGAGAGAAATAAGTTGAGAAAAAATGTAATAAATAAAACAAAAACTTTGCCATGAATTTCATTCAATAGATTTGTGTAAAGATAAAACAGAAGAATGTGCAATGTCAGTTATTCTGTCTGTCTGTCTATCGGCATGTCTGTCGGTCTGTCTACCTGCCTTGAACTGCAAACTTGTCAACTTAGCAAAAACCAAATGTTCAATTTTGTTCTTACGTTTTTTTTGTGTGTCTCCTCTTTCATCTTGAACATCTGTAGTTTGCTTGTGCTTTACGATTTTGTAACAGCTAAACTTGAAAAGATTTCTCAGCAAAAGATTAAACGAAAAGTAGAAGCAACAAAAATTGCATAAACAATATTTTACCAATGCAATTTATTAAAGAGCACTTCCAATTGCTATTAATGCCGACGATCACTACACCATTTTCACGGAAACATATAAAGGACCTTAGCTGTGATCCGATTTAAACAAAATTTAACACCCTTCATTCTGAATGCTATTCAGTACACTTTACTATATTTGTTGTTAATCAGATAGGTTTTGGGTCTTTGATATCTCATAGAAGTAAAATTGTCCAAAAAATGGTAGCACGTCATTCTAGGATGAATTTCCTTCGCTGTTCGTTGCAAGGGGACAAATCGAGAGTATTTGGAGCACAATTAACATGTAATAGGCCGATAATATAAATGGGAGCTATATCTAAATATAAATGGATTTTTATCAAAAGACAATACACATCATTCTAGCCTTAAGGCGGTGGACGATGTAAATGTTCGAGGCAACTTTACAAAATACCAAAATGATAGGTACCATCTTCGATGTGAAAAGTTTGAATGTCCCGTTTATGAAAAACGAGATCTACAAATTTCTAAAATTTTGAGCCTTTGGAAGGTAGACCTTTACTTAAAATTGGGTGAATTATTATGATGTACAAAGTCTGAATGAAATCGGTTACTCCAAATTTAGAAATGTTGTAAAGTTCGGCCAGCTTAAACTTTTTACACTCTCCACCATGAGGTGGTTATTCAAACTAGCTGATCGGCTCTTACAAAAGAAAACCAGTAAGGAAAGTAGTAAAGTCGGACTGGGCCGACTATATGATACCCTTTACCACTTTGGGTATATTCTACATATGTATCCGAAAAGGTGTCGCCTTTCTTAAGGAATTTTGACATGAAATTGAACGAACTTAAATATGTGATTTTTATGTCTTTCTGGAACCTATGCTAAATTTCATTTCATTTGGGCAAGTTTAAAGTCGTTTGGGCACTGTGTAAAGCGATTTAAAGCAAACTTGACACACGCTATTCGGTATGCTGCACTGTTTAAAATTTAATCTCAATCAGACACTATTGATTATATGGTGTACAATTAACATAAATAAGTCGAAATTATATATGGAAGCTACGATATATCCATATCTGAACCGATTTGAAGAAAACTTGCCAGTGATTAATTTATATTAATTTCAGTGCATTGTTTCAATCGGCCTAGCTGTGAATCTTCAGTGCACGATTTACTTAAATAAAATAAAATAAATAAATTCTTCACTGAATTTAGTACGATATACCAAAATTCATGCCAATCAAAAAATTAGAAGGGACTGTGGTGCACCATTTACCTAAAATCGGGCGAAACTATATATGGGAGTTTTATCTAAATCTGAACCTATTTTCATCAAACTTAGCACACATCGTTCTAGACCTAATTCAATAGGCTATACCAAATTTCGTGCAAATCGAAAGATATATAGGGAATTTGGTTGACCATTTACATAAAATATGGGGGAAAACTATATATGGGAGCTATATCTAAATCTGAACGGATTTTCACGAAATGATTTTCATGGACTTTGGTGCACCATTTACCTAAAATCGGGCGAAACTATATATGGGAGCTATATCCAAATCTGAACCGATTTTCACGAAACTTAGCACACATCATTCTAGACCTAATTCAGTAGGTTATACCAAATTTCGTGCAAATCGTAAGATATATAGGGACTTTGGTACCCCATTTACATAAAATCGGACGAAACTATAAATGGAAGCTATATCAAAATCTGAACCGATTTTCTCCAATTTCAATAGGGTTCGTCCTTGGGCCAAATAAGTGGCATGTGCCAAATTTCATCCAAATCGGATCATAAATGCGACCTGTACTTTGTTAACAAAAATACATGGACGGACGGACATGCATAAATCGACTCAGAAAGTGATTCTATGCATATTCTCAAAAGGAACCATGGGTTTTTCTCGATTATTTTTGCCTGTTACAAACATATGCACAAAGACATAATACCCGAATTACATACACTCAGGTTGGACTAAAACCTTGAACATATCAAAATAAGGCGTCTGAAAAGGATGTCTACAATCCACAAGATGTCTGCAATCTACAAATCACGTGATTTGCTTTCAAAATTCATTAAGTCGATCGGGAGATTTATATGGGGAATATGTTATTTCCTAGTGTGGTTGTACCGAATACCGAAAAAGGGGGTGCATCTTTTATGTGAGGATTATATCAAAAATTGTATCTACATAGTGAATTCTCCGTAAAAAATTTGTCCAATGGGGAAATCTGTAAAATAAAGGGGGCAATATAAACATATGGACTTATTTTGATCATTATACCCTTCACCACACTGTGGCGCAGGGTATTATGTCATTGTACATATATTTATAACAAGTAAAAGGAATTGAGATAGATCCATGGTTCCTTTTGGAAATATGCTTAGAATCACTTTCTAAGTCGATATATGTATGTCTGTCCGTCCGTCCGTACGTCCATGTATTTTTGTGAACAAAGTACAGGTCGCATTTGTGATCCGATTTGGATGAAATTTGGCACAGTTAACTTATTTGGCCCAAGGACGAAAATCGGTTCAGATTTATATATAGCTGCAATATATACTTTCATCCGATTTTATGTAAATGGTGCATTGGTCCGATTGAGACAAAATTTTGCACAGAGTACTGAATTAGGTTCCGATCGATGTATACCAAGTTTTCTTGAGATTGGTTCAGATTTTGATATAGTTTCTTCTGATTTTATGTAAATGGAACATCATACTGCCAATATTTGTTCGATTGAGACAGAGTTTTGCAAAGCAAACTGAAATTATTGCATTTTGACGCCCGCGAAATTTTGTTGAAATCCTTTCAGACGTTTCAGGTTTAGATAAAGCTTCCATATATATTTTCATCCGACTTCATCAAAATGATCTACAAAATAACTTAAGTTTGTCCGCTTAGGACGAATTGGTACTTGGCGTTTTTTGGCGAATTAATTTTTCAAGTCACTGTAACCGAACTATTTAATATACATTTTATGGGGGTCTCTCTAAATCACTGTGAGCAGAAATCTCCAAGTTATATCTAAATTGATTGGGATACTTAATTGAAATCTCAAAAATTGAGAGTATAAGGTAATACCAGAATTTGGACCAATAATATCTTCGCTATATAACGATATTATTTCGAATAACTGCGAGCATGAAGAATATCTTATATGTTATACTGAATCTTTAAATATTAAAAAAAAAAATTCCCACGAAATAAGTTTGGATTTATGCAGCTTGTTCTTCTTAATTATATTTTTTAAGAAAAATTATTTGTTACAAAAATATTTGCTTTCTATAATTGTTATATCTTCGCTATATAGCGATATTATTTCGAGGAACACCAAGCATGAAAAATAACTAATATGTTATACTGAATCTAAAAATATCGATTCAATTCCCATGAAATGAATTGGAATTTATGCGAATTAATCCAATTCAATGCTAACTTGTTTTCTTAATCAATTTTAAGGGAAATTTCATGTTACAAAAATATTTGATATCTATAATTAATTTGCTTATTCGTATTGATTTCGTTCTTACATATAGACTTGTATAGATTGAAATATAGTTTTACCATGAAATTTTATTGAAATGCTTACAACGAAAATATATTTTCTTTCCTTTTGGCAATGGTGTTTTCATAACTACAACGGCAACAACACCAAAAACGATATATATAATCAAAATCCCTTGCCTCATTTTTCCAAAAAATACAAAAAACACAAGAAAACAAATGAAATATGCAATTCATATGAATTGTTAGTTTTCAATAACAAATGTTGCAGAAAGATAAGAGAAAGTGCAATTTATGTAATTTTAATAAATTCTGCATTTCAAGTTGATTTCGTTTTCAAGTTATGTTTTATTTTCTCCTCGATGTAGTTGCTGTTGTTGTTAGTGTTTTCTTCTTGTTTTTCATTTTATCTGTTCTGCAATCCGTTCGTAGAATATAGTTGCATCCTTCCGTTGTGTGTTGGATACTCTAGAATTTATGGAGTTTTTGTTGTTGCTGTTGTAGTTTCTTAAAAACGAACATGGGGCGTGTAATGCAATACTCGAAGGGGAGGTTGCTGTTAGCAGCATCATCAGCACAGAAACAGATGCCCTGATATGTAAATAATGTGCAAAGCTTTTACACTTTTCGTTAAAAAATAAATTTTGCAAAATCTTTATAATGCTGACATAGTAAAATAACTCAAAATAAAAGGATCGCAATATGAAGATAAGTCGATAATTTGGATGGGAGATATTTAACTAATTAAACCAGTAAGGAAAGTAGTAAAGTCGGACTGGGCCGACTATATGATACCCTTCACCACTTTGGGGATATTCTACATATGTTATCTGCAGATGTCGTATTTTCGAAGGATCATTGACATGAAATTGAACGAACTTAAAAATGCTTTATCTATAAGTAAACCGACTAACATCAATAATTACACATGTCATTCTGCAATATATCCCATACTTTGTAAATAGATTTTAAGCAAACTTTACGCACGCTATTTGATATGTTTAACTGTTTAAAATGTAATATCAATCAGGCACCCATTGATTATTTGGCTTACAATCAACATGAATAGGTTGAAATTATATATGGAAGCTATGCTATATCTAAAT